TTTGATCCTTCAAATCTCTAGGTAACATTACCAGTATCAAAATCCATCGCGTCGTTGCATCCAGTGACAACGCAAAGTTCCCATAGTTGTCAACTAAAACAAAGATTTGTACCTCACGTTCTGTAAATTGCACTTTCTAACGGGGCATTTTCTCTTATTAATATACTCAGAATTTGTTGAAGAACATCACTGAGAGGACAAATCATGTTTTAAAAATTGTTAAGAGAAGCTTCAAACCCTTCCAATGAGTCATTAAGACGTTACCCTTTTCTACCTACAGTCGGCCATATCTCTCCTGGGAGTTCCCACAGAGATCTACGTATACGGCTGTATGCTGTACATCATCTACTTCGGTTTTGCTTCAAGTTTCCTCATAAGCGCCTTCACCTTCGTGCCGCTCATGTACCCACTTCGCCTGACCAGCATGTTCGAGTACCTTGAGTTACGGTTCGAATCCCGGCTTCTTCGCAAACTGTGCACCGTGGTGAGCATGCTGAGCGTGACCTTGTACATGGCTGTGGCCCTGTTGTCTCCTGCCCTAGCCCTACAAGTAAGTCGAAATTAGGTTTTAGGAACTCGTCACGCTCATAAGATAATTGCTTAAGTCATTTTTGACCGGCTCGGCGGAGTTTTTGGTTCTGAAATGAAGAGCAGAGTCAGAATACAACGCATAACATCAGTTGACTGTACCAAAATTCAAGCATTTCGCAGAGTCAATATTGTTCGGAAGAAAAGTTTTTTTTCTAATTTTCTCAAAATAGCTAATCTGAGTTATATATATTTATCTTATGAGTGTAACGAAGTGTTTTATGGCACTTGCAACACAAAAAGGTAATATAAGGGCCGAAGATTAGAGATGTTACAAGAGAGTAACAAAAACAAATTAGAAGAAGAAGAGTTGCGTACGAAAGATGTTTGATAGGAACTAAGGAACAAACCGTACCAGAGCACCCACCAACCAACCACGCATCAATGATTACTGAATCACAACAATACAGAACTTTTCAATCTGTAGCTTTAACTCTATCATCTTCAGTCTAATAAAAAGCAAGTCTTGTATCGTGGGTATGAGACTAAGTTAATATACCACCACTGTTACCCTAAAAAAAACGTAATTTGAAAAGAAGTAAACGAAAAAATAGCGAGCTACGAAAGTACACATTGCGTCAAAACAAAGAATCCAAGACTGCGGGAGAGATGCTGGGTGAGAAAGGACGTTAAGAGAGACAACGTGAAGAAACAAATCGGGGTTTTTGTTTTTGCTTTTAGTTTTTGTTTGTTTGTTTGTTTGTTTGTTTGTTTGTTTGTGTGTTTGTTTGTTTGTTTGTTTGTTCGCTTGTTCGAATCCCGTCTTTTTCGCAAACTGTGCACTGTGGTGAGTATGCTGAGTGTGACCTTGAACATGGCAGTGGCCCTGTTGTCTACTGCCCTTGCCCCACATGTCAGTCGAAATTAGGTTTTAGTAAGTGTTTTACGTCACATTCAACCCAATTAAGTCATATAAGTGTCGAAGATTAGATGTCTTACAAGATAGTAACAAAATACAAAAAGAAGGAGGAGAGCTAAAGGCGCTGGACGTTTGACATTAGAGAAGGAGGAAGAAAAACAATTGTAATAATAGCGCAATTTGAAAAGAAAGAAACAAACAAAAAACATGGAAGGTGTGTAAAAGTACTCATTGCATCAAAACAAAAAACATGGAAGGTGTGTAAAAGTACTCATTGCAGCAAAACAAAAAACATGGAAGGTGTGTAAAAGTACTCATTGCATCAACACAAAAAACATGGAAGGTGTGTAAAAGTACTCATTGCATCAACACAAAAAACATGGAAGGTGTGTAAAAGTACTCATTGCATCAAAACAAAAAACATGGAAGGTGTGTAAAAGTACTCATTGCATCAACACAAAAAACATGGAAGGTGTGTAAAAGTACTCATTGCATCAACACAAAAAACATGGAAGGTGTGTAAAAGTACTCATTGCATCAACACAAAAAACATGGAAGGTGTGTAAAAGTACTCATTGCATCAACACAAAAAAGCCAAACAGAGGCAAACGATGCTGGGTGAGAAAGGACGTTAAATGAGACGAAATGAAGAAATAAACCAGGGTTTTTGTTTTGTCTTCTTTTGTTGTTGTTTTTGTGTTTTTTTGTTTGTTTTGTTTGTTTGCTTCATTTAGTTTGTTTTGTTTGTTGGTTTGTATGAGTCCCGGCTTCTTTGCAAACTGTGCAGGGTGGTGAGCATGCTGAATGTGACGTTGTACATGGCTGTGGCCTTGTGGTCTCCTGTGAATCCTAGCAAAGCGTATCTTAAGTATAGGTCTTAACAACGAGTCTCATGATTCTACTTGAAGCTTATACACGTGTCTTGCTTTTGATGAAGAATACCCAGTAGTCGTGAATGCAAGTCGGGATATGTGCAATTAAAGCAGGCGTGGTGTCATAGCTAAAATTGACGAGGAAATGACTGCCAAAGTGTCGTTGGAAACTGCAAATTTACTTCTTTTTTTTATGCCTTTTGGTCCACGTTTTTTCAGTAAAATCCACCCACACATGAGTGAGTTTTTAAATAGACATAAAAGATGTTCGAACCCCTTTAAAATAGGTAGGAATTTTCCAAAAGAGCGGAAAAATGTCGATTTCTTCTATTTCATTATTTTGACAAGCGCCCGATTACATCAAAATGCCACACATTTTTTCCACACTTAATGTACTATCTCTCGTTTTTCTGTGTTGCGTTTCTGCGTGGCTGCTCCAAAGTCGGCGGCCAATCTTCCCCTATGGATGTCTGTGGCGATCGTAGGTGTTATTGGGACGGTCTACACCACCATCGGAGGTATCAAGAGTGTCTTCTGGACGGACGTATTCCAGGCAATCATTATTTTCATAGGGGTATTCGCCATCATTGTTAAAGGTCAGTGATTTTAAAACAACTTTCTTGGTGATTGGTGAGTGCTCTGCTGTGGTTTGCTCTTTCTTTTTTAATTGTCAAACGTCTATCGTATCGACCTTTAAATCTCTACCCCTTTTCTTTGTATATTATTCTCTAGTTATACCTCTTGCTTCACATTTTTATGGCCTATTTTGTTGCAAAGATCCAGATTTTCTTAAACAAGTGTCTAAGAAAGTTACTGAGGATCAGATGGACAGACAGGGTCACCAACAGGGAAGTGTTATGGAAAACAAGACAGATCCCAGTAAAAGATGAGGTAGGGAGAAGGCACTAGCGATGGATTGGACATACTCTCAGGAAGTCAGGCAGCTGCATAACAAAGAGAGTGTTGGATTGGAATCCACAGGGTAAAAGATCCAAGGGGAATACCGCGTGGAACCTGGAGAAGAATCACACAAATTGACGTACAGAAAAGTGGGAGGACATAAATTAACATCAAGAGGCTAGCCTAGAATATAGAAAGGTTGAAAGTGTTTGTCCGTTGTCTATACCCTGGTATAGGGTGAGAAAGGCAATGATGATGATTTTGTTGCAAGAGCCGTAAAACTCTTTCTAAAACTAACTAAAGCTGAGACAATAATGAAAACCTTTTGTGGTGGGTTGTTCCAAAGATAGCACTCCAGATGATTAACTCTCTAAGAAAAGAGTTTTCGAAATTCACCTTCATTTTTATGTTTTGTTTCCTTTCTCAAAAACAATTATTTGCAAAACATTCTCTGCTCATACCTTTTGCATACAAATTGCTTCCTCCTTAAAAATTGTAACAACAAAGGAACAATATTATACTTATAGATCTCCATTTTGAAGACATGTTTAATTTAAGGATCTTATCCTTTACTTTTCTCTCTTTGGTTGTCCTGCCAAGCAGTAGTTTTCATGTTCGGGACACATGCTAGGGGAGTTATTCCTAGAGGTATCAGATCATTTTTTGGCGGCACCTAAAAAAAAAACAACCTCGTCATACTGTGTCATCTAAAGTGGACAAATATAGTTTAATGAATGCAGTTATATGAATCGAATTGCGCAGACTCATAAAGATGTTTCGACGTATTTCCAAAATTATACAAATGGTCAAAAAGATCTTTTAGTGACATAGAGACATCTTGTCCTAAAAGGAGTAGGTTGGTTTAAGTTAGTGTGTTGAAATGCCTTATATTCTTTATACAAAACCAGGGGAATTAACTGGGCATTTATTCTTGAGCTTATTACTAGATACAAGTCTAGTTAACTAAACATTTTGAATAACTACCCATATATCTCAGAACTAGGCCCCCTACCAATCTTCGAACTCAACAGCAACCAAACATCTCGCCTGGCTCTGAAACTTGTTGATAGAAGGGCAATAACTGCAGAATTTATCTGAAACAAAATTTCCAAAAGAACAAAATGAAATAACCTGCTTTGACTGGTCTGCCAGAGCCCTTGGTTTTGTTTGATTTATGGTTCTTAGATATACAATCGATTACCCCCCCCACACACACACACACTCACACACACATACACATATTTCTGAAAAAAAAGGAGAAGCTTAATTTCTTTTAAAGCCCAGACTTGTATCCCACTCTAATGATTCATCAAACAGCCCTCAGAACTCAAAAGTAATTTTTATAAAGGGACATAATCTGGGTTTGGCTCACACTCTGCCTGAACCAGTGTGCATCTCTTTATAAAGAAGACATAAACAGAATACTTTCTGCATGCCTGAAGTCATCTCTTAATATGCATTTTATAACGTCTTTATTGGTGGGCGGTTCCGGTTCTTTTTCGATTCAACCACTGATTCTTGAAGCTAAAAATCACAGGAATCGAATCCGAGCTCAATTACTTTGTACTGATGTGATTTCTCCCGGGAAGCACATGATTTCGTCCTGTGGTTTTGACCCTTAGACAATTACTTGATTATTCCCGGGAAGTTGTGATTTCTTTCTGTGAATCCATGATTACTTCCGAGTCCAACACTTTAAAAAAGCAAACATTATAAGAATATGTATATACTATAATTTGTATCCGTTGGTGTACGTAAAAGGAATTGGTATTTTTCATTCGTAGCACTAATCGCGGGAATCTGTTCCGGAATTGATCCGTTATATCCAGCATGGTTCTGGTTATGTTCAGCGGATGGTTGAAGGGCGGACCTGATGGGTCTTTCTTTTTTTCCTTTCCTCTGTTGTTTTTATTGTCTGTCTTACAACACCTCCCCCCCCCAATCGTTTCACCATGCGTCTACTTGCTCAACGGCTTATGTCTCCAGGCTCGATGGTCGTGGGTGGTTTTGGAGAAGCACTCGCTCTGGCCAGAGAAGGAGGTCGGGCGTCTTTTGACGTAATCACACCTGACCCAAGGATCCGAAACACTTACTGGGGGATGCTCATCGGAGGAACTTGTAATTGGTAGGTAACGTGTGGAAGGCTTCGCTTATTTCATATATACGACAAATTTTACTCTATACTATCATCGTGGTTTATGAGTGTGAGTTTTTAAAAAATTCCCATATTAACACAATTTTTTTTTTTTTGGTCTCGTGTCCTGATTTTGGTGCCCATAATTTTTTGGTTACATATTAACACACTTAATATCATTATAGAGTCTGGCCTCCTTTACCCATAATGTAGTCCGTAACTAACATGGTAAATCAGAGATCATTATGTACGCTCATGACAATTCCTCATAAACTACGGTGCTTTTCTTATTTTTGTTTAGAGAGTCCACGCGACGTGTGTCCTTATTTCACTGGGTTCTACTATTTGAACCTAAAAGCTGTTATCATTTATATCAGGCGGGGTCTGAGATATAACAAAAATTAAAATCGGAGTTTTTGTTTCACGTCATGCTAAACACATACCTCTAAACCTTATTCTACGTAAATTAACATGGGGCAGATCTTTTTATGTCCGTCTCAGCACCGAGACGTATCCCGCACGGCATGGATTGACCTTGGCGGGCACGGTCAAAGCGGCCCAGACTGGGTCAACAGAAGCGTAAAACTTTTATGAATCTTTAAACGCAATGCAATGGTAATAATACTATTTTTGGGCACTCTAAGGGTTTCTATAAGTCACTTTAAAAGCCTTCTCTGCCTGTCCTCATGCTTGAGATTCAATCCAGAAGCGTTACCCAAACCTAACCCAGTGCTAGTTAACACAATGCAGCATAGAGTTTGTCGTTGAGCGTGGATATGCGCTATGCAAATAGGCAAATGGCATTTATTATCATCATCATCATCATCATCATCATCATCATCATCATCATCATCATCATCATCAGCATCATCATCATCATTATTATTATTATTATTATTATTATTATTATTATTATTATTATTATTATCATCATTATTGTCATCATCATCATTATCATTATTATTATCATTATCATTATTATCATTTTTATTAACATTATCATTATTATTATTCGTGTTCAAAATTTGTTTGCAGGCTGGTCAACGTGTTCAGTCAATCCAACTTACAGCGTGTGTGCTCCCTGCCCTCTGAACGAGACGCCAAAATGATGTGTTACATTAACGTGTTTCTCAACATCTTCTACGGAACTACCGTGTTCTTTGTGGGTCTCATCGTCTACGCGGGCCTTGCCTTTCTCAGATGTGATCCTGTTAAGGTAGAGAGAGAGAGAGAGAGAGAGAGAGAGAGAGAGAGAGAGAGAGAGAGAGAGAGAGAGAGAGAGAGAGAGAGAGAGACAAACGGACAAGAAGACAGTCAGACAGACAGAGACGGAGGCAGAGGTGGTGACAGACAGACAGACAAACAGACAGACAGACAGACAGACAGACAGACAGACAGACAGACAGACAGACAGACAGACAGACAGACAGACAGACACAAACTAGACACAGAAATAAACAGAAAGACAGACAGGGAGACAGACAAACATAATATACACTTGTGTGAGTGAGTGTGTATGTGTGTGTGTATGTGTGTGTGTGTGTGTGTATGTGTGTGTGTGTGTGTGTGTGTGTGTGTGTGTGTGTGTGTGTAACGGAATTAGTAGGATCCAGTAATTTTTACGTTTTCTTTTCATATTTTTGTAATGTAAACAAAATGTCTTTGTCAAGTGTTTAGAGGGCAGTTTGCAGTGGATAGGGACTGAACATAATAAAACCAAATGAAAGATCACCTCACCAGCGTCTATGGTGTAGCGGTTAGGCGCCTCGCTGCCACACCCAGGAGACTAGAGTTCGATTCCCGAGAGGGGAGAAATTTTTATCGAGTATCTCGGTCTTTCTGCTGGGATCTTGTAATAATAATAATAATAATAATAATAATAATAATAATAATAATAATAATAATGGATTGAATTTATATAGTGCATATCCACTTATGCAATGCTCTATGCGCTTAACATGATACATATAATGGATTTACAAATCAATTTTAAAGGTACATAGTGTTACATACTCATGCAAACACATATTCACTCACGCACGCACCCACACCCATACTTGCCACCCACACCCATACGTACATATGCACATACGCACATACAAACTCACAACGATCTACAGCTTGGATGCATTCTGTCTAATCGAAATATGATGAAAATAGAAATGATTTTAGTTTCTTCTTAAAAATTTCTAGATTTTCTGCTTCTCTGATAGTTTTTGGAAGCCTATTCCAAACAAGTGGGGCAAAATATGAAAAAGAGCGTTGGCCATATGATTTGTAATTTATTTTAGGCTTAGCAAGGGTTGTTTTGTCACTTGATGATCTGAGCGTTCTAGGAGGCACATAGGGTGTTAAAAGCTGTTTTAGATAGTCCGGTGATAAATCATTTAAGCACTTGTAGCAAGTTAAACAGATTTTATATACGATACGCTCTTTCACTAAGCCTGGTTGGCCCTGACAGGCAGGTTCGTAAGCCCGCTTCCCAAATGATATATTGGGTGTCAATAGGGGTGTAAAAACTCAGACAGACAGAGACACGGACACTGACACGAACAAGAGCACGGACAAACAGATGGACAAACGGACAGAGAGACAAATAGAGACGGAAAAAGACAGGGAAACTTGAGAGAGACAAAGAAAGGGGCGAGCAGTCTTCATGGTAGGCAGGTGGTAGTGAACGTTTAGTAGTCGTTTGAGCGAGTGCATAATGATCCACTGTAACAAAGTACTCGCGCAAATAATGAATTCAATCCCTTCAACTGACTTAACATAATTTGACAGTACGTACCACGGCTCAGATATATTTCATTGGATAAGAGGGATTAACTAACAGTTGTTGTAAATTATTTTCCCCTCGCCAAGGTGTCAGCTATGAGATTTTTTCATGTTATTTTAGAGAAGAAAAAAAATCATGGCACATTCAGCGCAAATAGGTCATATAAATGAAGAACAATTGAAGTGTTACTAAAGAGTAACTAACAAAGACAAGAAGGAAGAGATATATGGACGAAATGTGTTTGGTAGGAAAGAAGGAGTAGAGCGCAATCCAACGCGGTTCCTTTGCGTATTTCTGTTTCCTATGTTTTGACAGCAGTACGTTTTCTTGTCTATTTCACTCTAGTTTCGCTGTTCAGAATCTTCTTCTTCAGGTGTCGGATACAGAGCTGACATTGAAAATCATGGTACCCCACTCGCCTTCCTGCTTTCTGTCTTTCTAATCTGCTTGGTTTTTCTCATTGCTAGCGGAAATTTTCTTCTTCAGGTGTCATATCTGAAGCAGACGTTGATGATCATGGCACCCCACACCTTCTTGTTATCTATCTTCCAAGTCATCTCGACTTTTCTCACTTCCAACCGTACAAACAGAGACCAAGCATTGTTCTACCGACCATGCCCCCCCCCCCC